CCTTCACCATGCTAACAAGGTCCTTTGGGAAATCTCGCTCTCTGGGTACTTTGCTTTGTAAAGCGCGTACAAACGATCTCTGCCCATGTAAGCATGCTCTCTATAGTAGAGCTGCTTTAAACGCTGCTCATCTTCTCGTGTTATATCTTTCCAGTTAGGCTTCCTTTCCTCCATCTTATCGATAAGATCAGCTTTAAAAACATGCCGGTAAAGCACGCTCCACGTGCGTTAACAGTGCTCTTCAAGCACCCGGTACGGAGTGCCAATGCCAGCAACTAAAAGTAATCATGAAACCCGCTGGAGTCACAGTAACGATACATTCCTTTAGCATCACTAGCATCTCTATTGATGTAGGCAAACGAATAAGGTTCTTTGGTGCACTCGGTGAGAAATGTTAGAACTTCTTTATCATCTTTGTAGGCGGAAGCAAGTAACTTTGCTAAAAGTTTCATGTCTTCTGCATTGTTTTTAAACACCACCCACTCGGTGGTGCAGTTCTTCATTTTACGTGAAAGTTGTCCGGTTACACTCTGGATGGCTACAATATTTCCTATATTGAAATGCCTCCCTTTTGTATAGAGTTTCGATAACTCCTTGTTGAGTTCTTTACTTTGCGCAGAATCACCAGCGTCGTCAATGAATAATAGAAGTGACTTCTCAGGCGTTTTCTTCTGTTCTTCTACAATTTTAGCGATGGATGCATTGGAAACCTCGTCTGTAAAGTAGATATTTTTATGTTTTGTGGTTTCAGCCAGTACCTTCACAGAAGCATCGTATTCGACTGTGTCGGACATGATAATGACTCGATCGTGTAATTTAGCATAGACATCCTCAATCAGACCGCAGACTAATGCACTTTTACCACTTTTCCTCGGAGCGACAAGAGTTGTACATAGAGGCAGTGATGCCAGGTCACGTGGAACACGAGGATCTCTCTTCTTTTTCCCTACGGGAAAGATTGGGCGTGGTTTATAGGACATTTAAATTTTCCTTTGTCTTTACATAAAGGTAAGGAAATATCATGATTAACGAAGTGACATACTGCTCCTTAAAATCTCGATCATTCTCAATACCTCCTCGGAGGATGGAAATGATGAAGGTTCTCTCGGTTTCTTTCCTTCAAGATTGGGATCTGGTCAACGATTCTAATAACACGATTAATTTTGTTGAAGAAGGCGATCCAACCATCTTATCTGCGAAAATACCTAATGGTAATTACAGCATCGCTAATTTTCCGAATGCCGTTGCTCAAGCGTTGAGTTCAGCCGGGACGCAAGCCTACAATGCCACATACGACTCTGTTACGAGGAGATTGACACTTTCCACATCTGGTAGCAAGAACTTTAAGGTTCTTGCTGCTTCGAGAGGCACGACATCATATCTTCTAACAGGAATGTCAAGATGGAGTGAAACGGGATATTACAAGACTATCACACTGAAGAATGCTGTCAATTTGTCCGGGTCATATCCAATGCTTGTCACAAGCAACATCCAAGTCCAAGGAAGCCGTTTCCTCAGTGACTTCAATGATTCCGCCCAATCCGTAATTGCTGCGGTTGTCCCTGATAGTTTCGGCAATGTAGTCACGTGGACTAACGATGGTGGTGAATGGCTCCCTGTTGATGATACTATCTCCAAAATCGAATTCTATCTTATTGACTCGATGACCGGTTTGGAAGTTGCACTCAATAGTCCGTTAACCGTTCGGTTTGCATTTACAGATGATGTTGCGGATGTCTAATTTTTTTTTTCTTAGAGTAAGAAAACAATGGAAGAGCAAAATCAAAATCATCAAGAATCGAGTGCCGTTCCACAAGATAATGTAGAACCACCCGCTGAACAAGCACCTGTTCAAAAAGCAGAAATTATACCAGAACAGCCTCCAAAGCAAAAGGTGAAACGCCCGATGACGGACAAGCAACGGGCTGCATTGGAGAAGGCGCAGAAAGCGAGGGCTGAACAATTGCGCCTAATGCAAGCAAAACGCGAGAAGGAACGGAAGGAGCAGGATAAACAAAGGAGGATCGATGAGGCCAAACGCATCCTTGAAGAGGAGAAGGAACAGAAGCGGTTGGCGAGGGAAGAACGACGAAACACAAAGCGAGGAAAGAAGGCAACACCAACTAGGAGCAAGAGATCCAAACCAGCAGCAAAGGCGCAGCCAGCAGCAATACGTCCATCTAAAAAAAAGAGCGTAATTTTGAAATTCGGTGATGATGAACCATTCTTTGACTCTAGACCATT